CTAGCCAATGCTGAAAGGGAAGAATAAAAGAAAACATAGTTATTGTAAAGTTTCTAGGTAAACAATTGCTGTTATTGTATTGTCCCTTGATCAAAACTGATCTAGGAGTCAAACCAGTTTTAATAGCCTCTTATATATTTCCTTAACTACTATAACATTTTTGGATCTTCCCACTTTTTTTTTCCTGTATGAAACAATCTACATATATAACATTTTCACGTGAAATTCAGAATGTGATTTGAAATGTGTTAGGATTGGAGAGAAGATGGATAAAAGTGGGAGTAGAAAAATTATCAGTCCCCATTTAATATGATTATTTAACCTTCTTTCAATGATATTTTACTTATTGCTCCCATTTTATTTTTCATTTTTATTGTTTTCTTTAATTAATCATGTGTTTTGCCAGAGTATTTTTGCTCACCTTTGCTGTAATTTACTTTCTCTTTTAAGTCTCTAATTCTGATTCTTTTGTTTGTTTCTCCTTCTTTGGCTGGACTATTTCCTCAACTAATGTTTCCAGAAATAACACTTGTGTCATCTAATTTTGCATCTTTCTTGTTTAATAATGTTTAATATTGTTGTGTTTTTGAATTATGGAGATGTGCTCTCTTTTAATCTGTTACCTGATAAACTTCACTTTAGATTTTTCTATCATTTGATGTTGAAGCAAAGAAGCCCTCCATTGTGTCAAATTTGAACACATTCTTCCCATCACTCTTAACTTTATTTTGAAATCTGTTATTGTCTTTAATCATGGATTCACATTACATCAAGATATATTTGGTGTCAAGGTAGGTAATTTCTTTCAACATTGGTACCTTGGGCATTGATATAGTCCTCTGGGTTTGAGGAATCAGCACTATTTGTTTTCTTTTCTTATATTTCCATCATAAGTTCCATTTGTTTGTTTGAATTTCTGTTTTCTACATATTTTATTCTTATCCTCTCTGTCATAATTTCCAACTTTTAATTTTTTACTCTATATTTAAAGTAATTCTTCACATTAATTTTATAATGCAATGAATGTGCTTTGTAGCAGCAATGGACCAGTCAGCCAGTGCTTATACTGAGTTGACTTCTACTTATTTTAAACACCTTTGTTTACTCTGCTCCCTTTTCCTAGAAGCTTATTTTTATCATATGCAAATAATAGTCTCTCAGATCCCATTGAAAGTAGAGTAAAACTATCTTCTGTTTTATGCATGTATGTTAATACCCTGGTTTATTTTATTTAATTGCTCAATTTGCTTATTTAAATTATTATTTCTATTCAAACATTTGTTCTTATTCTGTGAGGCAAAGATAACTTCAGTGACAAGTGACCTTCGTTTTACTCTATCAGTTCATGATCTGTGCCAACTTCTACTTCTGAAGAGCCTGTGCGTAGGATTTTGTTAGTATAGCCAAATTCCTGTGACTTACTCCCTGGCTTAGCCTATGCTTCCACCACTGCAGTATGGAACTTGGTGCCACTGTTAATGGAAATTTGGGAAAGAGATTTTGGTCAGTCTGTGTATGTACTAAAATTTCACTACTGAAAAGACTGACTTTCCTCAATTTCTTGAAGGTCTTTGCAGTTAGCTGGGGAATGGCCGCTTTATCTTACTCCGACATCCAATCAAAGAAATGACTATGCACTGATCTCTTGTTTTCTAAGTGTGAGTTTGGAATCAAATGATGCTTAGGGACAAAACAACATAGCCTGTCTCACCTTAAGATTCTTTTATTCTGAACCAGGGAGAGAGGTGATGGCTTGTCCATGGTTGTCCAGAGTAAACATCTTTGCTTACTTCTAGGCGACTTTCTCTTTACCTTCATGGAATTGCCCATTATTCAATCCGTTCAGAATTCACTCCCACCATTTATTCCAGAATTTTCTCAAATTCTCTAATTCCCTGTTTTGATATTTTTAGATTTTAAAATTTCTTCAGTTGTAGGTATTCTATGGGAATGTATTTAGTTATTATTTAATTACTAAATGGAAAGGATAGAAGATAAACATCCAGTTCAGAGTCATTCTAAAACCAGAACAATAATAAATATACGTCTAGTGAATTGGTTCGCATAATGTTTGGGAGAGCAAAGAATCTGAGACAATGGAAATATATTGTCTGACTTACATTCTTAACAAGTATTCATCTGGGGACTTGTGAATCTACTGAAAACTGTGTAAAATTAAGCTTATTATACGTTTTCAAAGATGCACTGTTATGACATACTTAAAATTGTATTATTCACACTAAATTTAGCTATTTTCAAAAGAAAATAAAGTTAGATTGGCAAGTGACGAGAACCTAAGACAGATTATGCCTTAATTAGGCATGATCTAGAGGAAAAAGGTTTACAAATGCAGCTTATATTTTGAAATGAATAAAGGACCAGAGACCTGAATTTACTGTAACTACTAGCAAGTGAGTGGTTTCTATAGAAACTGAGACAAACTGATTTAGATTGAGAGAATAATATTTGCAGCTAGATCATCCAAAAGAAAGGAAATTTTTGTGTGGTGTTTCTGTGATCTTCTGTTTGCATTCTAAGAGTAAAAAATTGGAAGACATGTTCTGGGTATTAGGAAGATGACATGAGTAAAAATCTGGTGTTGTTACTACCTAACATTTACAGAAAATTGTTCTAAATATAATTATTAGCTGAGGTTTCATGGAAAATACTTCACTAAAGGCTTGAAGTCTGCAATAAGGTTGGGCAACACCTCTATCTTATGTAATGTTAGGTGTCAATTATATCTCAATAAACACAATAGGGTGGAAAGAATAATGTGCTTTCAACTTTCAAAGGTCAAGTATACAACACAGTATCATTAACTATAGTCAACCTGTGGTATATTATATTCCCAAAATGTATCTTTCTTATACCTGAAAATTTGTATCCTTTGACCAACAGCTTTCGTTTCCACCTCCCCCAGATCCTGGCTGCACGAATCTACTCTCTGTTTCCATGAGTTTGGCTCCTCTAGATTCCACATATAAGAGAGATCATGAAGTATCTGTCTTAATCAGTTCAACTTATTTCACTTAGCAACATTCCCCCAGTTTTCTCCCATGTTGTTTCAAATGGTAAGGATTTCTTTTCTATTCCTGAATAACATGCCATTCTGTACACATTTATTTTATCATTCATCCATTGACTGACATAAGGTAGTTTCAGTGTCTTGGCTATTGTGTATAATGCTTCAGTGAACATGGGGGTGAAATTTTCTCTTCCAGATAAGGATTTCATTTTATTTGGATGTATACCCAAAAGTGGGATTGGTAGGTCGTATGGTAGTTCTGTTTTTAATTCTGTCAGGAACTTCCACACTGTTTTCTATAGTGGCTGTATTACTTTACATTTCCATCAGCAGTGCAACAGTGTCCCATATTTCTCTGCATCCTTGCCAACACTTGTTATTTCTTTTCTTTTTATTTTTTTTTATCCAATCCCCTACCGTAACCCTCCCTTTGGCAAACATCAACTTGTTCTCTATATCTATGGGTCTGTTTCTGTTTTGTTCTATTTATTCTTTTGTGTATTTTTTTAAGATTCCACATATAAATGAAATGTTATGGTATTTGTCTTTGTTTATTTCACTTAGCATAATATCACAAATGGCTAGATTTCATTTTTTTATTGCTGAGTAATGTTCTATTGTATCCTTTTTGTCTTCTTTACCTGTTCATCTATTTATAGACATCCACATTGCTTCTACATCTTGGTTATTATAAGTAATGGTACAGCAAACATAAAAGTGTGTATGCTTTTTCAAATTAGTGTTTTGTTTTCTTCACATAAACACCCAGAAGTGGAATTGCTGGGTTGCATGGTAGCTTTATTTTAATTCTTTGAGGCATTTTCATATAGCTTTTCACAGTGGCTGCACCAGTTTACACTCCCATTAAGAGTGCACAAGTGTTCTCTTTTCTCCACATCCTTACCAGCATTTGTTATTTGCTAATTTTTTGATGATTGTCATTCTGACTGGTGTGAGGTGATATCTCATTATGGTTTTAATTTGCATTTCCCTGCTGATTAGTGATATTGAGATTCTTGTACCTGTTTACCATTAGTATGTCTTATTTAGAGACATACATGTTTCTTGTCCAATTTTTTAAAAAAACAGATTATTTATTTGCTATGGAGTTATTATGTGTCTCGTATATTTTGCATATTAACTCTTTATCGGATATATGACTTGCAAACATTTTACTATCCCATAGTTTACTTTTGCATTTTGTTGTTTGTTTCTTTTGCTGTACAGGAGATTTTAGTTTAATTCACTTTTATTTTTTAGTATTTTACAAGCATTGCATTTGTTGTGAGAAAGTCTTTTCGTCTCCGCAATCATAATCATCTTTTAATAAATAGCAGGGATACAGTCTCACAATCCTGATCCAGGAAATATAATTTAGGATTAATTTTCTTTCAAATTAAAACATTCCTCTGATAAACTGCCCAGTGGAATAAAGTTGCATTCTCTGACAGTCTTTAGCCCCTCCCAGCTCTTTTGTGTACAGGAATGTGAATGTGAACTTCTAATACCAAGTTACTAAAAGCATCTCTCTGCAGCCTTCTCTATGTCTTCACTTAGCCCATGTTACTTTTCACTGTAGCCTCTCAGAGATGGGGATAGTGCTGCTATCACTTAAAGGCAGCAAGATTTCTTCATGTTTTCTTGTGTTTCTTCAAGAAAAACAACTCTAAAGTTCATCCATCCTATTGAAGTCAACTGCTTAGGAAAAGCGTGAATACGGAAAACTTAAAAGACTCAGCTCTGGATCCTTTATGCCTTTTGGATTTCCAAGTGAAAATAATTATTGGAGAACCTGGAGTTATTACTGATTCCAATACAGTGATTTTTCTCCTTCTCATGATTTTTAAAACTTTGGTAGTGTAAACTTTGATTTCCAAAGCTCTCAATGAATTTTGCAATGTCAACAGTGAAGTTTGAACTGGATTATCTTTCTTCTGAAGGCTTACGACATGAGCATACTTCCAACTCAGATTTTACTTTAACCTCTTTGACTGAACTCTCTGCTGATTCTAGTCAACTGGAACTTCAGCACTCCAATCATGTCCCCACTGGTAAGCTAAACTTTAGATTGATATTTTTGAGTATACTAACTTATTCAAAATTTGTACTTCTTTAATGTCAGATATATAAAAAATTAAATCATGATGTCACTTTGTGGGGCATAGCTGATGCCAATTTTAATCTTTTGAGTTATTTTTCCTCAAAAATATATAAATAGATTATTACAAAAAGTACAGAGTGTTTTGCCAATAGACTGAAATGTCAGAAAACAATGAACTCAGAAAACTGTTAATGGTGAAGTAGATTTTGTTTATTTGAATGCTCAAGGCTTTCAAGGCTTTGTTTTGTTTGAGATGACTGATAAAATTAGGGATTTTATTTATAAACTGCAGAAAAAAATCTGCTATCTTCCATTTATCTCTTTTAATTATGTTTCATTCTTTGTAGTTATATGAAATATAATATGTTCTTTAAATGCTTATTAAAGAACAAGAGTATTAAGAACAAGAGTATATTGCTTTTGGTATGTTATTTTATACCTGACTTAGATTCCATATCAGATGGCAGTATTGATAGATTTCAATGTGAAGAGTTTCGATCTTGATACCTATAGTGTTACTTATCCAGAATTGCAGTTTTCATTCTTGCTCAGCAATGTCGAGTAAATAATGATATACACTAGTAGTTTGTAGTTATCAAAAAGTTCTGAGAGTTTTGTTGATAATGAACAACTATGACATGTCAACAATGAATTAATTATACTTTGTAGGACAATTTTGTATAATCAATAATTAATATGTTAAATGTTATTCAAGAACAAACACTTCATTATGATTTCATTGTTTATCTTTCCTCATTAAAAAGGCAGTGTGATGTGAATGTGAAAGTTAAACAAAGACTTTATAGCTCAGGATGTTACTAGACATTAAATTGTGTCCAGTGAAAAGTAACTGTAGAAATAATGAATTGCATTTGCAACCTGAGAATTCTTCTAACAGAATTTGGTACACTTATTTACATTTAAATATTCGAAATGAAGTTTTATGTGATTCCCAACCAATAGCTGGTTTGTTGTTGGTAGATTCTTTTATGTTATATGACTAATTTTACAATATAAGCAGTTATATAAACAGGAGATAACACATCTTTTTGTATATTTTATTTCAACTGTAAGGAGAAAGATCTCAATATTATTATTACTATATTTTGAACCTACAACTTAATAAAGTGGACAAATAGTTCTTTATAAATGAACATAGCTTATTACAGTAGATTTGGACAGGGAAAGGAGGTTTATAAACAAAGTATTTGCCAATGCCATCGTGATTTAAATAGCTATGTTATTTAACCATGTTTTGTCTTCAGTGTATGTCTGTGTCTGCACATCTATTTCAGTAGATTCAACAGTTGTCTTTATGCAATTCACCTGCACATCTATAGCTTAGATATAAACTTTTCCCTAGAACCTCAATATCCTGGCACTGCCTCAGATTCAATACAAATAAACTAAACTCCCTAAAAATGCTCCTTTCTTCTTACATTCTTATTTTGTCAATAACCTCTACCTCACCTCTAACATCCCTTAGCATTTATTGCAATATAAATTTCATGTTTATGTGTATACACATTATTTTAATACTTGTTTTCTCTACCTCTTTGTCCACCACTGTAGTCCCAGCAGTCAATACGGTGCCTAGAAATAAAGATAATTTATGCTTTGATTCATGATCTTGGCTAAGAGAATGAAAGATTAGCCCCCTTCAAATCCCAGAGTAAATGCACCTATATGGGTTTCAAACTGATCTTACCTCCAAATTTTCCATAGCACTTCTTGCTCTGGCCACAGAGTTATTGATGGCCACATAGTCCTCCATAAGCACATAGTCCTCCATAAGCACAAGGCTAACCCATTCCTGCTTTTGGTTTGCAATTTCTGTAACTCTGTGCCACCTGGGCTATAAACCTGATGATCTATGATCTACATCTGTTTTTATTTTTTTCCAAAACTTTTTTTAATCCTCATGTGACCTATGTGTATCCTGCAAGAATGATTTAAATTCTCAATCATCATTCAGGTTACTTCAAAGTAATTTCCAATATTTTCCCTTGTCTCTATTTATTAAGATCTCACTGAGATAAAATACTTTCTTATTCCCAAATGCCTATGGTTAACTCTCAAACTTCTACAAAATGTTTGTCCTATATATTCAAAGCCTCACATTCTAATTTTTGTTGTAATTACATAGGCTCATGGTTCCTTTGCTATTAGATTATGTTTCTTGAGGATAATTGTCCCTTCATAACTGTTTGTACTTGTGCATAACACATGTGTAATAAGTGTGATGAACTAAATGATCAAATGTAGTTTATCTCTTAATGAATTATCTGTATAGGAAGCATTTGTTTAAATCACATTATACATATATTTTACCTGCCAAAATGTTATGTTGAAATGATCACACAATTCGTTACCTCACAGTATCATTGTACAGGTTAATGCCATTGTGGAATTTGCCCTTAATTTAAAACTATTATTTAGAAATGAGCATTCTAGAGTTTATTTTTGCATGATAGGTCTTTGTGTCTTATTTCCAATAGAGTTAAGATTGTATGAATACATACAAAATACATTGATTGAATATTTGTGATTGAGGGCTAGGGGCTGGGGTCTATGTGAAAATAAAAATAATGTGATTGAGCTCTGTTCTTTCAGTCTCTGGTGTGGCAGTATGTATTTAATATGCATCTGCATGTATTCCTGGCATGGAAAAATAAAATAGAACAGATGAATGTTAGTCCATAGAAAATGCAATAGGTCTGTCTAAGAAGAAATATATTTCATTGTCAGCAAAACAGTATTTATAACTTTCAGTTATATAATACCTTGAAGATAACTCATGCTTACAGAATCTCAGTAGTTCTCACAAGCTGTCAATGAGGTAGAGTTCATTTATCTTTTTTTCAATAGAAGGAGAATCTAAAGACCAGGAAAGTAATGTAGTTGGACCAAAGTCACATACATATAGTAAGAGAGTGTGTGTGTGTGTGTGTGTATGTGTGCGCGTGTAAGTGATGGCAGGGACAAGGGGAAGTTGAGGATCCCTTAATCTGTTTTCTGTCTTTAAATTTAGTATTCTTTTTTCTCCTCAATACCACTTGGAAATTAAGTTTTAAAACAGTCATATGGGGGAAAAATGTTTCTTTGCCTTTCAGAAATGGATTTTTATCAGTAATCAGTTACAAGAATATTGATATCCTGTCTAGATTCTGGAATGTGTTTTAAATGACTTTTAAAGCCATGAATATTTCATCATCATGATCATCATGGTTATTATCATCATCACTGTGGTATTAATGATAAACACATGTATATCATTTCCTGTGTATCATGCACTGTTCAAATATTTTATATATATATATAAGCATATAGTGTTTTATATAGATGAGGTATGTACAGACATATAATTTCATATGTAAACATATGTTTCTAGATAACATAGCAATGGATATATTTGTAATTGTATTTACATTTATATACTTTTTAATCACCCACATTCAGACCGATAGAGAATTAAATAACATTATTATTTCCATAACAAATATAAACCGATCAACTAATATTTCCTAGTCCTTAAGAAATTTGAAGTGGGCAGAGGATCACTCCCCATTACAACATCAGTAGTACACATGTTTGACACCTGTGCGACACTGTATCTTATGACCAACATGAACAATAAGAATAAAAATATTTGTACGTAAGTACAAACTGCTTTGACCACTGACTCAAACATATATATTTATAAACTCTACACATCTTTAATTTCCTGTAATGATCTATTATCATCTATCATTTATCAAAACTTCTTTGGACCTAACTATGTCTTTTGTTTCCATGAGTTTTTGGTGGTTGGCTCTACCTGAAGTTTAGAGGCCCCCACATAAAGAAGCTATGGTTAGTATAATATAGCAAGATCAAGAGGTGATTGTTCTGTCTGAATTTGTCTTGGGGGCAATTTTAAAAGTTGCGCTCTCCTTTTGTCTGCAGTGTCTACCTCTATGGATGTTTAATTCTTAGGTTGAAAGACTACTGTGCCTTTACAAGTATTTTCTGTATACTTGGTGCTTCTGAATGCTTCTGCAGCTCTTTCCAGCCCCTTAGAGACTCTACTTTTCATTTTTATCTTTCACGAATTATTGTTATTCTAGTCCTAAATTAAAGTGTTGTTACATGATGAAGCATGACATTCTTTCAGAATTTAAGTACCTCCATACAATTAGATAATCACCTCTTAATAAAATATTATCTTATTTTTAAAAAAATTGTTGTATAAGTTTATTCCAATTATATAAAAATCAGCCAGTGCCAACAAACATTAAATTGGACCAGTGGAGTACATATTTAAATGACATAGATATAATTCACATGAATGCTGATATAATTACTTTACAGAGGTGGTAAAGATAAAATGCTAATTCTAAAGAATTTAAATCATTTGGTTTTTCATATGCTTTCCTTTTAAAATGGGTATGTCCCCCTGGTAGTTATACAACTTTCAGTTACAAGAAATGAAGATAACAAGCTGGATCTCATGATTGTTTGTTAATAGCATTTCACTTTGAAATAAGTATCTTCCCTCAAAGACTTCTTGGTATCATGTCTTCTGACACTAGATGACAATAAATCCGCTCTGCTGAAGTATAACTGAGCCATAGGATAGTTAAATGTGATTTTCTAAGATTAACAGATTTTAAAGTCTCATACAACCCCAAACAAATACCACATTTTCAAAAATGTATTACACTATCCAAGAGTAGCCAGAAGAGTAAACATAAACTCTTTATTGAAATTATGCAATAGCCCCTTAAATCACACACACATATACACATACATGCAGTCATTGCACTTTTAAGAAAATATGACGATATTTATCCTTTTGGATATGTCCTAGAACCCAGAAGTGGCTGACCACTCTGATAAAATTCTAGTTGTGTTAACATCAGCCTAACTAAACAATCTTTTTTCCATCAGGAGTGGCTTAAGGCTGTATGA